TATCTATCTATCTATCTATCTATCTATCTATCTATCTATCTATCTATGGTTACACAGACCCGTCTGGGGCCGGGCAGCTGTGGGACTCACCTATGGGCTCCTCCGGGTGGAAGGCCACCTCGTTAACGGAGCCGGCGTGACCCGGCAGCTTGTAGAGGATCCGGCGTGATGTGGTGTCCCAGATGTACACGAACCTGTTCACACAATCAGAGCCGTTCAGAATAGCTGCTGAAAGCCGGGCTGGCCTCTCTGCTCACGTCTGTCTACGGCCCAAATCACTCCACAGGTCGAAGTGACAACAATTAAACACTAATCTGGATGTTTTAGACATTTATACAACGTGTTTAGTTCAAATCACACGGATTATTTAGACCGCTTTGGTGAGTTGTACACAAACTCCCACAGAAAAAGCTTTTTCTAAACAGCATGAGGATTGAAACTGATTTAAGAAAACCTCGTTTCCACCAGCAGAAGATGGCTGGAGAAAGGTTTGGAGTCCAGGGCCGAGCCAGAAGGCTTTCCCTCTCTACTCTGTGTTATTAACTACAGTGGGGGAAATAAGTATTTGACCCCTTGCTGATTTTGCAGGTTTGCCCACTTACAAAGAATGCAACAATCCATAACTTTAATCATATGTACATTCTAACAGTGAAAGACAGAATCCCAAAGAAAATTCCAGAAAATCACATATGAATTTATAAAAATTGATAACCATCTGATGAGGAAAAATGAGCATTCTTTGTAAGTGGGCAAACCTGAAAAATCAGCAAGGGGTCAAATACTTATTTCCCCCACTGTATGTCTGTGGTGATGGAAACGGGTTAGCTGGTGAACAAATGCGGTCGTCAGCTCTGTGAGCTGCACATTGTTCTGTTTCAGATAAACAAAGAACCACTTTTGTTTTTCCTTTTGAGCAGAACTGGCCTTCAGTCGCTTTAAGTGTAAAACAGCCTCTCACCTGTCAGCAGAACCCGCAGCGATCTTGCTGCCGTCGGTGGACCAGGAGCACCTCAGCAGGTTCTGAACAAAAGAAGCAAAGAGACCCAGACTGTGTTTGAAACCAGCTCATCTGCTGTTTGACCCTTAAAAAGAAGACAGACGCTGAGTTTTTCCAAGAAAAACACAGAGACGGCTGTTGGTGCGAAGGCCAAACTACGACTGTAGCTAAGATTTTCAATTCGATTAAAGGCCATTTCAACAGAAATTTGAAGTGTGTTGGGATAAAAGCAGCATGCATGGTACCTTTTCAAAGTTATGGATGTTTCCCTGGAAGATCTTGACACATCTCTCCTTGGGTGCGAATGGCCTCACGTCCCAAATCCGAACTGCAGGAGGAACAAAACTGTGTGAAGTCTGGATTTGAGCCCCGGGGGAAGCAAACCGGTCCCGGCCGGACCTACCCGTGTTGTCCATGGAGTTGGACAGGAGGTAGGAGCCCTCGGAGCTCAGGCTGAGCCCCGTTACCGAGTCGCCGTGGCCGTGCATGTTGTAGATCAACTTGTTCTGCCGCAGGTCCCAAACCTGCAGGAAACACAGAGCAGCACGATTCAGAAGCAACCGGCCGGAGGAGAGGAACCTCCAGTCAGACGAAGGCGAGACTGTTCTGGTTTTCTGATCATTTCACCTCATGATCTGAGTGTGACGCTGGAAATATTCTACTCATTTTACAGTTAAAGGACCCATTTTACATCAGATCCGTTTTAAATTCACAATGGTTCTTAAACCGGTGGACGATCTGCTGTGGAAACTCGCATAGCAGCAAACTGGAGACGCATCCTTAAATCTGCCAGTGAAGCTAAGATGCTAACGCAGCTAAATCTGACTTATTACACACATCTGATATTAATCACAAGCTGAAAGATAAGATAAGGATCATATAAAGATCCCAGTTTGAAGTCCCTGATTCAGTATAATCACTCCTCACTCCGGCTTTATTTATAAATAAAACCAGAGGAAATGA